AAGGACACAGTTTTCACCAGACAGAAGTTCCCAAGGGTGAGGTAACCTGAACATCGTACCTGTCAAGATCGGTCGTCAGTAGAAGATCAAGGTATTTGGCTGTGTCCCCATCCACATCAGGTACCCTAGTCGCTTGTTGTACCAGCTGAGAGAGCGACAAGACAAAATTCCACGCCTCTCTCCCAGCGTGGTTGGTCTTCTGGTATGGGAACAGCTAGTCCTGATGACAGGCATTAAAGTCTCCCAAAAAACCAACTATGCATTAAGGTACCAATTTAGAGCCACATCGGAGTCTTCACTGAGGTGTTCAAAAAGCCTGGTTGTCTTCAGGTCACCGCTGTGCGATCGGTAGATACAAGAATAAATAATTTTATCCATTCCTGTGTCTATCAATACCCAGATCGTAGAGAAAGTGAGGTCTTCAAGGTGACGGAAACGCTTACAGCAGATGTCGTTGCGGATGTAAACACAGACTCTGGCATACTGATGAAAATTATGCTCCAATGTGAACCCAAGATAGCCAAGGTACGCCGCATCTAGAGGACATCTGATCTGCGTCTCAGTCAAGAAGAGTAAGTGCGGCTTGTCAGTTTCCAGGTGGTAGTGGACTGCATTGAGATTACAGCTCAGTCCTCGGATGTTTGTGAGGTGCACTTTGATGGAGAGGGAGTGCAACCGCTATACAAACTTACTCTTCTTTTTCCTTTTTTCATAAATGGTGGAGTGAATAGGTTGAGAGAATGGCAGTTGGACGAGGCGTCACACATATAACCTAGAGACGCAGAGTCATAGCATCGATGGTAACTAGCATGGATATCGCGGGGAGGCCCAAACCCCCCTAGAAATCGCCACCAGACACTTTCCACCGGTCACCAACCAGCATGGTGGAGCCATCCCAGAAGTTTTCCTAAGATAGCGGGGCAGCCTTTCATGAGTGGTTGGCTCATTAATTGGGCCCCCAACTATCTACGGTCGGTCAGCGGTGCAACCGTGCTTTGGATCCCGCTAACCTCCATAACTAGGCACCTGACACTTAGGAACGGCCACGTCATAACCGGTTCTTATACGCAACGCAAATGTCCAAACCCATTCCCCCTAATAAATGGGTTTCACCTAACATCATACCGGAACACGACTTGCATCATTTGGCGGTATGTCTTTGCCAGGTGGGTGGTAACTAACCCTCGGCCGGGCCTCTCACTAGTATAGGACCAACCTACCACCAGTATGTAGTGCTGCTCATTTAGCACTACCCAGGGGATACGTGTAGGGAATCATGATTCAAGTAATTCCTAAAGACGCGAGCAGCTTCATCCATTTTTAAAGTGTAATAATTTCAATAGATAATAATGACGTCTATCAAAAATATGAAAATTGATAAGGTTTTTATTTCAATTACTAATCTATATGTTAAGTAATTAATACTGCTCTTTCTGCAATTACTGCAAAATGTTCATTATCATTATAGTTTTATTAAAGAGATTTTATATATGTCGTGGCCAGGTCGTATAATTAATCACATAACATAAAGTAGTCTATCATTTCGTGAAATGGTGTGTTCATTTCATGATAGTTAACACTGTTTGTTGACCATGTCATGATATGGCTTGATTGAAGATATTAATAACTAAACACAACGTTGCTATTCCATGATATGATTAAATCGTTTTTCACCGCTAGCGGCGCCGATAGCCTATTTCTTAACAGAAACAGAACTTATAATAGAATTTACATTACTTTATGCCTTATTGATATACTAAATAAATGTTCGTTTCTATCGCTGATATTACTAGATGTACAGTTTTGTCTTTCATTATTTCATCTTATAATAGCGCCATCTACTTACTTCTAAATAACCGAAAATGGTAAGTAATTGATAAAATTTATTAAGAGACTGCCACTGAATATACGATGTAAATATGTAAAAAATATACGATGTGTAATAACTAGATAGATGTGGTCAATAATCATTCAAAAGCTTAGTTTCAGTTTTTATGAATTGTATTTAAACAAATACGAGGGCCTTGTAGCTCGTGAGATTTCAATATGGCACGGGAGCAATACGTGTATGACTCCCTCGAGGATGCATCTGTTACAGAAAAATTTACGTGATGAATTAACACGCGTATGTTAAAGTGGTGAAGAATAACTTCGTCGGGAAACCTAGATATCTGAGTAATTAAAATAGTCGTGGAGATGTGAAAACCGTTAATATGCATTGAAGCATTGCAGCATACTCTATTTTTCAGCCCACAAAACACTATAGAAAATGAGGAGCCCTGTGCACAGTAGTGAGACGTATATTAGCTGCTACTGACTTATAACTCAGTTTGTAGTTTAAGATAGCTTTCATGTTTTCAGACATATTGAGATATTTGTGAAAGTCCTGGTTTCATAGCTCATATGAGTATATGTGAATGAACGGGCTCTTGCGGAAAAATGTCTTAATCAAAGAAAACAGATTTTACTTAAACAAAGGTTCAGTTTATTTTTCTTCTCAAAGGTGGTAATCAAACTGATTAAAACTTAAATTTCATGATACGTAAGCATTATTATATATTTTAGCATATATTTTAATTGCAATTTGAAGTATCGATTAATCACGTTCTCGGCGGTGAACATATCTGAGAAGTTTTCCAGTTCAGGACATCCTGCGTTGGAATTAGCGCAGCGAACACTTTATTGGCCAAAACCTCTCTGCGGCCTGTGCCCAGTAGTAACATGTATGTAAGCTGATACTTTTTTACTTTTCATGGGGCAATATATGCAGTTATTATTTCAATCATATTTTCAGGTATGTTGCTTTTTGTTTTCACTGTACCGTAAATATTAAGGGTTGCAAAGATGAGTAGAACTCAATATCTTCAGCCTATCAAAAGTCCATTGAAATTAACATAGGCCTCCCCCATTAATTGTCAAGTAGTTGGATATTTGCTATAGTTGCCACGCTTGGAAGGCGGGTTGGCGACCGCAGTTATTATTATTTTAATTTGTTGTCAGGAAGATGATGATACCCATCTCCTGTTTGTTTTCCCATGTCACCTCTTACGATGGAATAGTATGAGCTGGTGGATTCTCTTTCACCGCCACAAAAAAGGGGAACATTTTTCTACTCCCGTTCATGATGAACTACGTTCATCTAGTTACTACGTTCACTGTGAATACAATTTATAAGGAATAAAACTAATTTTAAGGATTTTACAGCGATTAATTTTAACTTTTTTATCCTCAATTGGGCACTTTACGGCAGCCATGGTCTTTTTTTTTATTTTCCACCAGAGATTACACCATCCCTAGTGGCCGTTTATTAACTAATGTTACACATTTTTAATGTAGTTTTCTAAACAAGTTCAAGATTATTATACAAAGACAGCTAATTACAAACAGCACTGCGGTTTGATACAGTGGTGTTGCTTTGACTGTACGAGTAAATAATTATAAAATTTACGAGTTTCAGTACTATTTACTATTATATACTTTTTATATAATTTTATTATTATATATACTGTATATACACTAAAAAAATTTAACGTTTTAGGATTATTAAAGAAAATGTTGTTAATATAAAATCATTAAAACGAAAGGTTGTGTCGAGGTAGACCGAGACTAACTTTCGAAGACCATGTGAGCAAATTGCTCGAAGAGGGTATGGTCAAGAGTATTCGGATACCTAGACGTGCATGCATGAAGAAGATAATGAATCTGAAAGAAGCGAAAGAGGTTTGTAAGGATCGTGACACTTGGCGATCTGTTCTCTCTGGCTACCCCGTCAGGGATTGTGCGTGAAGATAAGTAAGTAAGTAAGTAAGTAAGTATTAAAACGAAAGAAAACTCTCAATTAGTTACATTTGTCTGGAAACTAACTGCAGCCGTGGTCACGGGAGGACTAAGGTGTTTGGCGACCTGATGTCATAGTTGGAACAGAATAGAATAGAATAAATTCAGTAGTATGCTTGGGTTTTAATTAAATTTTATTAATTATGGGGTCCTTAGCAGATGGTAGCACTCAGCCATCTTCCCTATTAAAATTAAGTTGATTTTTAATTTCAATAGCATCGCGAATGATCATTGGTAGATATCGGTGTTCTGTTGCAAGGATTTGTTGTCTATCAGACCCAATATAATGGTTAGGACGATACTAAACATGTTGACATTCTTTAGACTTCCCGTATCGTCGGTGCTGCACATGAACGATATGTTATTTTACACGAGTTTTTATGGAACTTTCATCCAAAGATGCGTAAAAAACCCCACGTAAAAAAGTTAAAATTAAACGTGATAAAATCCGTAACATTAGTTTCATTCCATGTGTAGTATATTACATCATTGAAGAACTGTATTTATGAAATTTCGAAGTCTACTCGAACGTAAAACAAATTTTTATATCTGTTTTATGGTGCCAATCAATATTAAACAGGACCAATGATATGAAAATATATCTCAAATAAACATTATACCGTAAATTGATAGAAGACCATGAAATTCATTATTATTTTGTTAAAACTAAATGAACTTTAATTATGAATGAATGTGAAAAGTAAAATGTGAATAATATTAATAAATTTTGATTCCAAGATAATTTACCTTTCTTATGGATACATCGGAAGACACCCCCGATATAAAAAATAGTAGGTGTTTCTAGACATATATAGTCACGTGTTCCAGTAGCATATTATATCTATACCAAATACCAATCCTTTACATCTAATATTCTTTTAGAAATCAAAACAAAAATCTTTGACAGACATAGAGACACACAGTCACTGAGCGACCGAATTTTGCTAAATTTGGCATGGAACAGCATTTAATGATGTTCCTAAATTCAAGCTCACGCGAGCGAAGTCGCGGGTAAAAAGCTAGCATATAATAATATGGTTTGCAATCCGCACGTCGATTCATTAAAATATAATGCTCTCCCTTAAATAATTATGTAAAATAAAAAAGAACCAATGATGACATAATCGGTTACATTAAATTTCTTTAGATACAAAATATATTACCATTTCGATTGCCCACGCCAATGCAAAAACTTGAGGCAGCAATTCTTCTTTTAATTCAGGCTTAAGAAGAGCATCGCAAGCCGATATCGTAAGCAAGCCCCTTAATTGCTTTCCCGAATCAATATTGTATTCTGTAAGCTGATCAATAATTAAAGTAAAATAAACTCTTCAATGATTTTTAAAATATAGTAACTTGATATTTCATTTACCTTCTTCAATCTACCACATATTTCAGGATTGCTTATGTTAGTCAGTCCTTTTTCTATAACTGACGATAAAGAATTTTGATATGCAATAAATGTTTGATGTGGCACCATAGTTTGCTTCAGTTTTATTTGGCGTTGAGCAACGTTCCTGTAAAGGAATAAAAATAATTTATTTATGGCTTCATATGTTTATTTTTGCATCAAAAGAAACGTCAATGAAACAATTGATTATCCTCATGCCAAATGTAGAGTATACTATTTATTTTAAAGTGTATTATTGTAATGCATGCAGCATGCAATGCATGGTAACTGTCATTGAATGGGTATATTATTTTATCCTGTCACAGATCGCTGACAATAAATAAATAGTAGGAAGAGGTGTAACTTAGTTATAGTGTTTAAGTTATGTGTAATATTAGTTGTGACATGCAAATTATAATAAATAAATAAACCCTACTTCTATAAACTACTAAAAGTTTGCCACGATCATAAAGTGATTATATGCTCATCAACATCATTACAGCCCTTCGCAAGTCCACTGCTGAACATAGGCCTCCCCCAAGGAATGCCACAAAGCACGGTCCTGAGCCAACCTGCATTTATCGACTTCCTGTATGTCTTACCAGGTCGTCGCTCCATCTTTTGGGGAAGATTTTTTTCAATCTTTCTCATCCAAGTGATTATATATACATATATTAATAGGGGAGAGAAGACTGTATCATGAAAGCTAAGGCAAAAGACGGAAAGTGGGAAGGAAATGGATACACACACGAGACTGCGGTAAGACTAAAGGTGTCTTAGCCACCGTAAAGTGAACGCTTAAAGAGGCATTCCATCTTTGTCCTCACGGGTGACAACGCATCTGCATTTTGATTCTTTATTGAGGGTAGATGTAGATGTCACACCGTTGCTGTGACCCATAGACATCTACATCTATACTAGGTGGACTGTGTGCTCGTTTGTCGTCCCATCCTCTAAAAAAAACCACATATTATGTTGGATTGAGTTGAGTTTCTGAACTGAATCATCGTGCTACATGCTGACTTTGACTTAACGTCATGTAGTAGCGGCGTAAGAGAATCCACTACCCTATTTCGTTCCGTGAGTGCCATAAGAGCTAAGAGACGACAAGGGGAAAGGAAATAGAAGATGGGCAGCAGAATCTTCCTAACTCAAAATAATAGAAAATCGCGGTTGCTAACCCGCGTGCCAACCGTAGTAACTATGGCTAATATTCCCTCTATGGGGGAAGCCTGTGTTTAGAAACGGGCTTTTAATAAGCTGTAATGTATGAATAAATGAAAATGAATTTTGACTTGAAGCTTGTAACGTTATAATTTCGACGCAGTTATTTTACACATTTTTCTTCTTGGTTCTATAAAACAACTGATATATCATAAAATTTATTTTCATGATATAAATTTAAAAAAAATCTTAATCATTTTATATTAGCTGTTTTTAAAATGCACTCGTCATTTTTTCCTTTTTCTAAGAATGTTTATGGCTCCAAAAAATTGAGTTACCATCTTCTGAGGATAAATCATCTAATGACATGGCTTACGAATAAAAAAAAACTCCGCGACTGCGATTACTTAGGTATGTTGGTAGAGAAGACTTAAACAGTCTCATGTTTAAACTATAGTCTGTTTTAATGTCTGTTGTTGAAGTCGCGTGAAAAATATGTGAACTAGAATGTATGTGCTGAATTAAGAGCAAATGACAAATTTCGCAAATATTGTGGCGCCGCGGTTAAAGGACTTCTTTCGTAACGAAGACTATGAACTCGAAAGTATGAATAAACCACGTTTTGAAATAATACCGATAATTACATGGTAATTTTTCAAATTACCATGTAAATATCGTATTACGTTGTATCAGGAATAGGTCGGGTCGACCAGGGAAAGACCACGCTCGCACAGAATACCAGCTTGAAATGGTAAATGCTGCTGTGTTCGTATGGTGAGTGACGAAAACTGTCGATAACAGCAAGAGATGAGATGCTTAATCAAAGGTGTGTATGGGCCACATCATCTATTTACAATCAGGTGAAATGTGTGATCGTTTATCATCCATTCTACTATTAAAGAACTAGTTTTGCGAACCTGCGAGATTTTACTAAGTATAGGTAAATATTTTTTTATATTATCAGGTAATTTATTATATCATTAATATGCAAAAATAAGAACTCAAGACTCTAAAATACTAAAATTATAATCTCAAGATGTCCGGTCGGGTAGAAAAACCACGTTTATAAGATATTTGATTTTTTTTTGAATTTTTTAAAAAAACGTTACCCCCACACTAGGATTTTCTCCTATATCGTCGAGGCAGTTTACAAACACAAATTGCACAAGGATAAACATCCAGACCCGGAACAATTATTTATAGGCCATACAAATACTTGGTCCGTGCGGGATTCGAACCCGCAGCCCCCAGCGCAGCAACTCATTGCTAAGCCACTGCGCTACGGAGCCGTCAAAGATATGCATAAGTGTTCTATTTTTTCTAGAAAAATATCATAAGAAATTAAAACTAAAGATCTCGTAGGCAAATCTAATAAACTTCGTAATAGGATAACTTTATAACGGGTAAAAAATTAAATTTTATTCGTATAATTTATAAAGTAAAAACATAAATTTATCCATAATATACGTAACAAATTTATGTATATCTGTTTACTATTATTTATTGTTTTATTTATTTATTATTTATTATTACTATTTATTTATTTATTATTTATTATTACTAGTTTATATTTTTTCTTACTTTTCCCTTCAAGACTTTTAATCTTTGTTCTTATTGATTGATTTGGCATTTATGATTTTGTATTGATAATTTAAAAAAAAAAACATTTTTTTTTAAATAGTATTTCTAAAGTATATAACTTGTTACATTATTTTAGTATTATTTTAGTAATAATTAATACAAAAGTGAGAGACCCTAAATATACATAACATCCTTAAAATTATGTACGTTCACAAATCTCACCAATTGGCACAAGTTCTGGTCAGTTTCAACAGCCACTTACAAGACACCATTTTCTTAAGAAAAATATGACTATGAATTGAAAACTAAGCAACTTAACTTGGAAAAATCACCATTGATAATGCTTATATGCATTATATTTTATCCCCACCTTATCTGTTCCACTATGGTGGACATCGAATGAGATATTATAATTAATGTCCGTAATAATCGTTAAATAAGACATTAGGATTTCTTATATTTACGCGAAGACTACACATTAGATGAAACTAATTTTTACAGATTTTATCGCGTTTAATTTAACTTTTTAATTCCCGACGTTTCGGGTTTACAGCACCCATGGTCACGGAGGGGACTGAGGTATTTGATGTTTGAGGTATTTTTGGTCCGATCTACGCAGAATGAGCTTACAGTATCTTGAAGTCTTGCAGTGGTATGCTTGGGTTTGGATTTAATTTTGTTAATCATAGGATCCCAATCATCCTTGATAGGAATCGGTGTTCTTTTGCGAGGATTTATGGTCTATCAAATCTAATGTAATGGCGGGGACGATCTAGAACATGTGAACACACTGCAGACTTCCCTGAACATCGGTGTTTCAAGTCAGCTATATGTTTTTTTTTTATATGAGAAGGCAGCTATAGACTAGCTATATAGTATAGCTATAGAAAAACGAGCACACAGTTCACCTGATGGTAAGTGGTTGCTGTGGCCCATAGACATCTACATCTATCTTCGATTACGAATGAAAATGCAGAGGCGTTGTCAACCGTGAGGATTAAGATGGAATGCCTCGTTTCCAGTAAAAGGGTCTCCGGTTCTCTACACTCACCATACGAAACACAGCAGCGTTAAGCTGCTATTTGACGCTGGTATTCTGTGAGAGCGTGGTCCTTCCCCGGTCGAGCCGACCCTCTTCGTGCTACAACCATAATATTGCTGCAGCATGGCTCTACACGCGGGTGACATGGTTCTTTCACTCGGGTTTTAATAGATCTTTGTGTTTGTCCTATGTAAGAGAGACCACATTCACAATCCAGCTTGTACACTCCTGCATATTGTAGAGAGATATGACACTTGACGGATGGTAAAAATTGACTTATCTTCTTCGGCGGCTTGAAGTATGTTTTAATGGAAGCTCGCTTCAAGATGTAGCCAACCTTGTCTGTGACTCCTCTGACATAGTGTAGTACAGCAGTCACACGCTCGACTGTGGTCGGCTTCACTTGGTCACTGTGACGTAGGCGCGGGACCGAGGCTTGTTGTCTTTCAATACTTGTTCAACGGTCTGTCCCCTATAAATTGTCTCAAACGGTGGATTTTGCCACAGTTGGCAACCGAAGTTTTATTATTATTTTGAGTTGTTATCAGGAAGATGCTGCTGTCCATCTCCTGTTGCAGACTCTTACGAAATACACAGGATTATATGGGGGAATGGATATTCTTACACCGCTTATTTGTCTAAAATCACAAATCAGTTTATTTTCGTAGTATTAAGAAGAAAAGGACGAAGGTTTGTTTTTTATCATATAAAAACTACTCAATTAGACGTTCTGATGCTATGGACGGCATCACATTTCATTTGTAAGTAATTTTATACCTAATTTATTAAAAAGGTTCTAGCAAAATCGCTGCGTCGGCTTTCAAATTTAATTAAATATATTCGACACTAGATGGTGACAGTTTGTGTCATGGGAACTAAAAATATAAAGTTACGTAGAGCTCAGCGGTGCCAAGTTGACTGTCGGTATATCGAAATGCTGAAGTGGTTGTACAGTAGAGCTACGATGGCTATCTGAGTATAGAACCAGAGTACGAAACCTACCCAACTGCAGAGAGGTGTAAGACAGGGTGACGTAATATCCCCGAAACTCTTCACCGCTGCATTGGAGACGTTTTCAAGCTTCTGGACTGAAAAGGATACGGTATTAACATCAACGGCGAGTACATCACTCACCTTCGATTTGCCGACGATATAGTTCTTATGGCAGAATCACTGGAGGAAACGAAGCTGCCACACTCGGTCTTCAGCTTTGACTGTTGGCTCTTTCTGGCAGACAGATCTCTAGGAAAGACTTTGGAGCCCTGGTTCCGCTCGATCGCTTCTTTAATACGAGCAGTATTAATGTTGCGTAAGTCCCGCCGCATGCATTTGGAGATCTGTCTGTTCAGTTGCTTGTATGCTGTCAAATCTACTGAAGACTGCAGCTTCATATCCCGTCTAACAATCATGAGATTAAGAGTGTGATCGGAGAGTTTTTGTGTTCTTCTGCGGCGGCTCTTGCAAAACTTTGCTACGACCGTATGGACAGTTTCCAGGAGCTTGTCATTTATATCGTCCACTGCATTGCAATCTCCTAAAACGAAAACGGCACTTAAAACGGTTTTGTAGCTTGAACTGAAAGGTTTCGGGACATTGGATTAGAGCACGAGGGTGACGGAGCGTTGACTTCATTACACGTGCGCGATCACTGAGACGTCACTGAACAGTTGTCGTCTGGTCGTCATAATGAATTCAATCCCATTTTTGTCGAACCATCGCGGCTCAACCAGGTCCACTTCTTGTGGGGCCGCTTCTGGAAGAAAGAGTTCATCATAAAGAGTCCTTCCTTCTCCATGAAGTCAGCCAGCTGCTGGTGCCTTGGGTTCCGTTGCCCTTTTCCTAATTTCCCTACCTTCAGCTCACCATTCTCTCTTGTGCCTCAGTTTTGCGTTGAAGTCTCCCATTAACACTGTATAGTGGGTTTTTGAGGGATGCATAGTTGTAGATATATCCTCATACATTTCCTCCACCTCTTCATCGTGAGATGCTGAGGTTGGTGCGTAAACCTGTATGACCTTCAGCAAATACTGTTTGCTGATTGTGTGTAGGTATAAGGTACGCCAACCTCGTCGACACACTCTCAATCTTTACAACATTGTTAACGAGAGACTTGTGGACGATAAATCCGACATCGCCTTGGGATAGATGGTCGCCCTCCCGGTGATTGAACAAGTTGCCGGACTCGAGGATTACCATGTCCTCCTCCTCTCTTTGGACCTCAGATAATCCTATAATATACCAGCGCAACTTGTCCATCTCTTCTTCCAGCTCCAGGATCTTCTCGTCAGTCCTCAGGGTGCGTGCGTTATATGTTGCCAGGTCGAGTCATCTTACGTGGCAACCGAACCAACACCGGAGATTCTTAGCACCCACTGCCCCGCCGTTACCATGGTCATCACCGTAGCCAGGAATAGCGGGACCGCTGGGAACTGGGGCCGTCTCTTCTTACATCAAAATTAATGTCAATATTTATCTTGAATGATTATAATGAATCGATAGACTTGCCCACACAACAAGAAGATCCTATCAAAGCCATTATGAACCCAACTAAGTATCTATTTATTAACCAAAAAAAATTAAAACCAAAGATTTTAGTCCAAACTGATACTCTTGTTTGATATCGGCTAATTTGTTTACGATACTTTCTAAATTATTTTTAGCATCATTTGTAACATCAATATGAGACTGGGATAGAGTGGGCAATTCTCCAATGCATCGACCTATTTTTTGTGGAATGGAACTTGCTAGTTTATGAAGAGCTACTTAACCACCCGCACCTCACGGTCACCGTGAGGTGCGGGTGGTTAAGTAAGGTACCTCATATAATATTCGTATTATATATATATATATATATCGTCAATCACTTCAGGAGATAAGTTGAGAGAAGCGAGGTTGTTAGGTTGTTTCGCACTATTTATCCATACCAAGACGAATATCCTCGTAAATCTTGACTTAGGCAGTAGTAGTAAGACACTCCACCAAGATAAGATAAAGAAATAATATTTTTCTATTTTTTGTTATTTTTTAAAAATTTATTTTCCTCGCATATGCGTTTTAAGGTGATACCCCGACCAAAATCTTGCGATAGTGCGTTTTTCGGAGACTATTATCTCATTAGTTATGATAAATAAACTACCTATATCTAAAAGCGCATTATTAATGTTCCATATCCTATCATTACATTCCACGTCTAATTTGTTTTTATGTGTTATAAATACATTTAAAATCTACTTTTAAAAAATGACTAAAATTATTGATTACATGCATCTGTTGCTAAAGGCAACGCTCTAATCATTTGAAGATTACACTAATAGATAGATGATTTAAAAATCTATATTTTTCACGTTTTATTTAATTTTTAAAGTTCGTTTTTCTTTTGTAATTAAAATAATTGCAAAAATTGCGTGAATTCTATGATAAAGCGGCGTACGTCTAAAGAGGGAACGAATGCTCTTTGGTCAGGGAGACGCCTTAATTCAAGTTGTTTACTTGAAAGTCTTAAATTATTAATCTATTTACAAGTACATATTACACACTTGTACATACACATTTAGAAATATATAAGCTATTACAACAAACTTTCTGCTATGGCTAATCTCAAATATTGAGTGATGTAAAAGGCGACTTAGGAAAATTTCTATAAATGGCTGAATAACCATGTCGTGTTTGTATCAGATGTGAAATTTTCAAACCGGTGACGTAGAGCAGTGTCATAAACATGAGACTTCTGCTTTGGAATCCCAAGCGTGGTAATCCAAACGCCAAATGTTTCAGCTATGTCTCCCACATGAACTTTATGTCGGGAATTGAGTTTTTACGTAATTACGTAAAAATGAGAAGGATGAAGACATGATACAATATCGGGTCGATGAGTAAAGCTACTCGTACTGTGCACTGCCGGACAAATAGCCCTCCAGACCATACGCTTCGCACCTTATAACTGGTTTATTACATGGGAATTTAAGATATATTTCTTGTAATAATAGTATAGGGGAAATCAACTAATTCATTACAAGTTTCTAAGTCATGGCAAGGATGGAGTGCGGTAATTCATTACACAGATAAAGAGCTAAAGAAATGACTTGTCCAGAAAATTTGTTTTATAATTATGCAGTTAATTTGAATTTTAAATCTTCCGATGAGTTTAAAGCAGTTGGTATCATACACGAATGAAAATAAATCTAGTCCGAAGAGATAAACATAAGCATGATGTTAATTTTTAAATTGAAT